AGATTGAAAGGGACTTTCCATCAAGACAGACCTTCATCTATCACACAGGTCAATGAGTCTTGTGTATCTTCTGACTTTCATCACATAATTCATGCAGCTTCTGTTTATGCTGGCTGGGTGTGCAGTAACAATGAGGAAGATAACAAAATGCAACAGAAGAGGTGACAGGCATACAGTCAGAAACACTGTCTGTAGTACGACATGGTTTGCATGTGTGCTTCTGAAAATGTTTTTTCAGTCTGAGACAGTTATAGACTGTACTTTCCTGGGTAAGTTGAAATTGCGTTGCGTCTGTCCTGACTGACTTGTGGTGTCTGACATTTTCAGCAGTGAGTGTTACTGGGAGAATTCAAAGTTTACTTTTCATCGGTTCATGCTATTTTCTTTCCAGTGTTTATCAAATGCTTCCACTTGGCTAAGATGCCTCGTGTGTGTTTAGTCTTACTTCTGTCCTGCAAGATTTTGACAGTCTGAAATACATTGATAGAGGTGTTTGGACCTCTAATCAGTATGCTTATGGGTAAAAAATAATTATAACTGGCTCTACATGCAGGAGCAAAAAGCTATTGCTTTTTTGCAATAATATTGAAATATGAAGTAAGACCTTCTAGTAATATTTCATTAGATAGTCTGTAGCATCTCTTTTATTAATATAGATATTTATTCTCTTCTGTTAGCAAACCTGAAGCTGCAAACACTTTTTATAAAACAAACAAATGTAATGGAACACATTATTTTACTCTAGCCATGACTCAAAAAGAGACCAAGTAGATTTAATAGGACAATAGGGCTATTGAGTACAAAGACATCCATGACTAAAAAAATTCCTTGGGCTGCAAGGACTGGATGCAGAGACAACGTTCAGGGGAAGTATCTGCTATATGCTTGCCATATTCTGATTTTTCTTTCCAGCAGGATCAAAATAACATGTGTAGGAAATAGCATACTGGGTTGGATGGCTGGAATCTTGTTCCTATGGCTATTGTAAGAGTTTGGCACTAGTATACGGAAAAAAATACCCATACACTTGCTTCTTCAGACGCAGGTCAGAAACTTGATTTGAACTGTGACTGTGTAACAGTGAGATTCCTCACAGGTGTGGTGAAGCCCATGCTACCTTCACTCCTTTTGTGAATTATGTTGTATTGTAGGAAAAGTGCTTTCTTCTACTGTATCTACCTACTACCATAGTGCAGTTTGCTTTCTTTTGGATTGCAACTTCTGGCTTCAAAATAAACTGTTGAACATATAAAGGAAACTCTAGACAATTGCAAGTCATGCTAGTGAAGCATTTGGCAGTCCTTTAATTTGTTTAATCAGAAGATTAAATAAAGTCACTACTTCTGCAGTCTTTGCAGTATTGCTCTCTGGTCCTGTTGCATCCTGCCTCAGGAGCAAGAGGAGACCAACTAAGATTTGGCAAATCCCCTTGGGTTAAATTAAGGTGAAACAACACCAAACGATCAATTAAACTTTTAATTTATAATGTAAATAAATTGAACTTGGAAAAGGTAAAAACACTGGTAATGCAGATTCTTATTAGAAATCTTTATAAGAAGTGGGAAAAGAAGAGAAAAGAGAGTTAGGAAAGGAAAGAGATGAGAAGAGATCACCACCCTTGGATCCTGCAAGGATCCCTCGATGACGGATGTGGTGATAAGCAGTTGTGCAACAAGTGTCCTGAAAGTAGTATGTGAGCATCAAATATGAAATGGCAAAAGGCCTCTCTATTGAGTCAGGTGGTGTCTGAATTGGGGACTAAGTGGTGTGGAACTTCTGCTTTAAAACATTTTTATTGAAATATTCCCTATTGTTGCAGACCCTTCTTGATATGGTTTTCAGAGAGTGAACCCTGAATGATAGACCTACTTTATTTAATGTCTGTTTAGTTTTGTGTATTTAACTTAGTGTGTGCTAAGGATCATAGAAGGTGCCTACTACTTTTGCTGTTATCCATTATTAGTGCAGCTGCCTGTAGATCTTTCTTAAAGAGCTTGACTAAGCTGTCTAAGGAAAAATGGCCCTTCTCTGAACTCTCTTTGGTATGTCCCTACCCATCCTGTACTGGGGAGCCCAGAACAGGGTCTAGCACTCCAGATGTGTCTCACCAGTGCTGATCAGAGGTGGGAAAGAATCACCTCCTTCAACCTGCTGGCTACTTTCCACCTAATGTAGCCCACAGTGCTGTTGGTTGCCTTTGCCACAGGGGCCTATCTCTGGCTCATGTTCCACTTGGTGTTCACCCAAACTGCCAGGTCTTTCTCTGGCAAGATGCTTTCCAGCTGGTCAGTCCTCAGCATACATTGGTACATGGGGTTACTCCTCCCCAGATGCAAGACTTGGCATTTCCTTCTGTTGAACTGACTTCCTGAGGTCTACATGCATCTGCAGAAGCCAAATCTAGTCTATTGGAAGTGAATGGCTTTGTTTTGCCCTAAAAGAATAGATGTAGTGCCAGCTAGTCTATTTAAAGCACATTGAAAATGTACTAGAAAGTGTCTCTTGCTTCCAACCCCACCTGAATGGAGAGTGTCAGAGTAGACAGTGCAGAAGGCGGCTTGTTTTGGAGCTATGCACATGAAAGAAGACTCTTACAGTCTTAAGTATCGTAAAACATTAAAAGTATAATTGCAGGAAGAACTGGTATCCAACCAAAGCAATAACCACTATGGATTATTTTTTTCTTAATTTCTAGTTTTAACTTCTCAAAAGGAGTTAGTGTTTTAAAGTTCAAGTAGATTTAAACAGTAAAAATCTAGACATATCTGGCATTTCATAGTTTCTACAGAAGCGTGCCAGTGTAAATAATATGTTGCTATTGGATGTACTGGCAATAAGCATGCTACAGTAGGTAAAATTATTATAGTTGTGCTCTGGAAGGCTTGCTTGTATGTGGTGTAAATAGAAATATTATTGATGTTAATGAGGGAGATATGTAGCTGCAGGAAGTATTCACTTTGTGAAAAAAACCTTTGCCACAGATGACCAACTAGCAACTCTGCTGTTGGTTGGGATCACTGGCTTCCTTTCCTCCAGAAAAGATTATTTTTTTTTTAGAGGAAATCCTGTTTATTTGCTTTTAGGAAACAATTTCTTCTAGTTTCTCTTCTTTCTATTAATCTGTTCAGGAGTGCTGATACTCCTTGGAAGTTTGTTTTCTGACTCTGGTTGCACTGCTTGGTACATAAGGAGTTGCTGGTAGTGGTAATACCATCTAAATACCTTTCTTGTCATTAATTATTTGATTGTCAGCTATTGCAGGTGTTCCAAGTTTCTTGGCCTCTTCCTGGTAAAAGAGCATGTTGCATTTATCCTTCTCTTTTCTCACCTGACTTTATTCTACTGCAGTCCTAGTTGCCTTAGCTGGAGAGCTATTTTGGGGCAGCCATTTCTATAAAGAACATAGTCTATTACTCCAACTCATGTCACAGCTTGAGAGCAATTGAAGTGATATTCTATTCTGAGTTTGATAACTTTTTAAAGTAATGTAAAAAGCAGTTAGTAAATCACTGAAAATATAACTTTTTTTTTTTCTTTTCACTCCACCCAACTACTAGCCATAGCCATTTATTTTTTATTTCCTTCTGGCCTTTTTAATGTTCTTTAACTCCACAATCATCTCTCAAATCTGAGCACATTAACTTAAGCAACTTTATGCGGAGAATGATTCTCTAGGGCTGGCTGACGGATTAAGTGACAGTACCTTGGTTGTGAAGCAACCTACATTTGCACATTCTCCAGTCATTTCCCATTAAAACTTAAATCCTTGTTCTGTTGTGGCACCTTTAAAAAGCAGACCTCCTCCTTACATCTAAATGTTATGAAAACCAGGCATACTGTAGCCCAGAACCCCAAGGAATGCTTGATTGAAATAGCAGATCAGAAAAGTCTCTTGCTAACATTCCTGTGATTATGGGTTTAGTAAAGTGACAGAAACGTGGTGTCAGCTCGCTTTCTGCAAACAGCCTTATTTTGTCCAAAAACTAACATAGCTCTTAAAGCCTTCACTGAGGCAGTGTTTGTGGGGATAGATAACTTTCTTAAACTGTAACAGTGTTCATTACCTTTCCTCTCTCTAGAATTATCTCACATGTTGTTGACTGGGAGGTTGGTCTGGTTCCTGCTGCAGAGCAGAATGTATTCCCTTTTAGTAAAAGGGAAAGAGACATTACTCATTCTTAGGTCCTTACAGGTAAACAAAGAGACAACTTTGGTTTAGCCCCCTCTGCTCTCTTGTGGTATCTATTTCAGTTAATTTTTCCTTTGTACTTGGATTTCTTCTGTTGATAACTTCTACCTGGTTTGCCATACCACATATAGGTCTGGACTATTGAGTAGGAAAAGCCGGAAAAAGTCTCAAGAAAGAAGGAAAGAGGAGAAATATGCATTTGTTTTGATTTTCAGGTAAAAAATGAAAGTTGAAGAACAGCAAGTGTAGAAAGTAGTTTAAATGGTATATTACATCAAGCAGTGAGTATGGAGGTATAGGCGAGTAGGGAGATGTAGGAGGAAACAGCAGATACCTCACTTTCATTTTCATGTGACCTGACTATATATGAAGTGATCACATAAACCAGAAATCTAAACTCATCTAATGCAGTCTGAATTTGACCATTCATGCTGGTGAGGGTTAGTGTCCATTTGTACTGATCTGTGTTAGAGGTATTTGAATGAGAAAACTGATCATGAAAGTCCTCCTAATGTTATTAATCACAAACTTTTCATTTAGAATGGACCTTAGCAAATACATAATGAGAGCCCCTGTGATACAGGAGGCTGTCTGCAGCCTTAGTACATGTAATGATGCATATGCTATAAGTTATAATGCAGTTAACTCCTACCCCGGTGTGCACAAAATGAACATCAGCTGCTTTAAGCTTAGTTTAAAGGTTCCTGGAGTTGTTCCAGGTTCTGATACGGAAGGTTTTTCTATTTTGATGTTGATACTCATGTTTGTTCTCTCTCCCTCCCCACCCCTTTCTCCCTTTGCAGGCAAAGGCAGCTCAAGCATCTCATCCGACGTGAGTTCCAGTACAGATCACACGCCCACCAAAGCCCAGAAGAATGCAGCTACCAGTGAAGGTAGGCAGCTGGTACTCATTACCCAGGTCAGGCCCCCTGACATAATCCTTGCTGTTTTCAGAAAAGGAACCCTTCCCCATCATTCCTTCTGTGTACATTACCATTGGTGTACCAGAAATTAAAAAACAGTTCTTCCTCCTGTACACAATTTCCACTCTTACCTGGTGTAGTTTCTGGTCTAAGCTTGTGACAAAGGATTTAAGATACTTCTGCAGAAAGAAAATGTAGAGGGCTTTGAGTAATTTTGCATGTTACATTTTTTTAGCAAAGACTTTTATACTTAACATTTGATGGGATCTGATTTTGAACTTATTTTTGAAGAATATGTTTAATGGAAGCTTTTTGGCATATGTTCTAGGTTAAATCTCAACCTCTTATTTTCATGCTGTGAGCACCACAGTTCTTTGAGTTCTCTGTGCCAAGTTTTCAAAAGTGTAGCTGTGGACATGAGGAGCTGACAAGGATTTAATTAGATCGGCACACCTCACCTACAGTTACTGGAGTATGCGATCATCTGGGACTAGATTTTTAACATCTAGGGGAAGGAGATATCTCATGTGTCAGTATTAATATGGTGTTGTACTGACTGGCCTATGAACAGAGAAATGCTGATCTTTTCCTGCTGCCACCTTATATGTGATTAGGTGTGCTTGTTAAATGAAAGTATATTGGCTCTAGTTTTTACCATAGTGTCTTCGAAGGCTGAGAGGAAATCATTAAATCTGTATGTAGTTTAGTGATGCAAGCATTTTTTAAATCACTTTTAAATGATAAATTTATGTGCCTTAACTAGCATTTCTGCTCAACTCTGTCATAAGAAGTTGGTTGTACTTTGTAATTGCCAAATAATAATAATTCAATTTTCTTCTTTCTGTCATTACAAATTAAGCTATAAGCTCCGTTTGCTCTCATTCTGGCTTTATTTCTCATAGTTAAAAGAAATCACAGACTTTGAATAGTTCTAGTTTGGCAAGTCTGACTATGACTGTAGAATCTGTACAGTAAAAGCAGCTCATGTAAGTAATAAATGACCATATAAATCACAAGAGTTTATTTTTAGGCATGCATAATCCCATGTCAAGAATGAAGATCTGGCACCTGTGAATCATGACAGATACTGGTTTAGAATCTCTGCTTTTCAGACTGGACATTAAATTTAACAACAAATGAATAGATGCTTAAAAAAGTTAAATTAAATAGTAGACTTCATATTTCTCTAAGCCTTAGATTCAAAAGTTTTGAGGTACCTGAAAGAGGTGACCTGCCAAAACACAAAATAAATTTAAGAAATGTATAAAAGCACTTTAACTTCTCTGTATGACAGCCAGAAAAAAGAAAAGAAACCACAAAGGAATAGTGGAAACTCTGAAGTCAGTAGTTAAAAATTACTTTGAATTTCTGTTTTACTTCAGTCAGTAGAGCATGTTTTTTTCTTTATTTTCAAGTCAGATAATGCAAAATAATCCTCTACTGATCTCTTAAGATTTATGTTCTTAATCTAGCCCATTGTAGAGCCAGTGAATACCAATATTGACACTGAAATCTTCACCACTGCTTTGCAGCTGATTAATTCATTAGTGAGGGAGGCTTAAATGCAAGCCAGCAGATGCTGTAGTAAAGATGTGTTTTTGAGTTCTCGTGTAGATTCAGAAAGAGTTCAAAGCAGTGAAATTGTGCATTCTGCACTTGGAGGTAATTTCAGGTGTGAGTGTAGTTTTCCTGTGCCCTAGAACAGTGTGATTTGATAAATGCTTACTTTGACAACAGCAGAAATATTTTCTCAGCTTGTGCCATTACTACTGTCCTACCAAGTTTTTCTGCTGAGGGGTTACTAATGTGGATCAGCTTAATATAAATTGCCTTAGTGTGGATTGCTGTATAATCTGGTAAATATTTAGTGTCATAGCCAGGGAGCAAAGAGTTCCATGAAAGCAAGCAGGAGTGGAGACATGGAGGTGGTACTGGGAGAAAGACAGGGACTGCTGAAACCAGTTCTGTGACTGGAAGGTACATTTATCAACTGGTGTGTTTCTGGATTTTTTTACTAATGCTGCCTCCCTTCTCTGTGTACAGTAGACTCATGCTGTAGGAGGATTCAGCTGAACATAGAGACTCAAGATGAGTAGAGTTCTGTGCTAACAGGACTGAATGCTTTTATTCTGTTCAGTTGTAGAGTAGTGTCTAGGGACCAGCTAAGAACAGGAGCCTGATTGTGTTAGATGCTCTATAAGCAGTGGCAGTTAAGTCTTTTCATTGTGGTGTTGACATAACATTTTATAACTCTTAGTTAAATTTACCTTTATAGCACTCCATGCTCTAGTATTTGATTGCCGTGACACAGTAATACCTGGCCACCCCACAGATTGGCAAATGTATCTTGTTCTCCACCATGAGACTGGTTTATCACAGAGACAGAAAGCTCCAGTTCTGCCCTTTGCTTTAGCCCTGGTATTGTAACTTCATAGCACTGTATGCTCTCCTATGAATAAGTTACCTGTTGTGTGTGGTGAGATGTATATGTCCTATGAATGGAGTGGGAAGGACTAAGAAACATTGCAGATGAACTCTTCTTCACCTTCATTAGCATGTGAAATAATCTTAATTGAACAAGTTGTGAACAGCTTCTTTGCATACCTTGAATTTCTACTGCCAGCTGAATTCCTGAGTGCCCAGCTTTGTGAAGAGCATAGAATTTGTGTTTGAGGCTGAAGGCCCTTCATGGCTCCTGCCTTCCAGCTTTTGATGCAGACCTATCTCTTTCTAGTTCTGATCAGCATGTCTTCTCTTCTGGGTCTGTAAGACTATTGACACAACACTTGTTGAAGTTGAAATCAATGAGATTCCTTGAAACAACTGGAAAGGAGATCTGTGAGACTGATTCACACAAGCTCTGTGGTACTGTGGTACTCTACAACAGAGAAGCAGTCATATAAAGTACTATTAGGCAGGTGTGGATTCCTAGGAACTGTGAGAAGGTGTCAAGCAGAGCTCTTTCTTGAAAGAGCACAACCACCTCAGGAAGTGTCTGACAGCAAGTATTATTTTACCATCAGTTTGAACAATCAAATTAACCATATGATTCAGTCTTGTCTCCTGCAACCATTATATTTGTCAAATTTCAGTGCTGCAATGTTAATCTATAGGATGGATATAAGAAATGAGTAACAAGCTGCCTGAAAATGGCTTATGTGATGTTCCAGTCCTAGATATGGTGTTAAGGCCACATCAGTTAAATCTCTTGATAGGAATGGGAGATGCAATTATGGCTGAAATATTGTACCTTGTCTCCCCTTGTGGATTACGAGCATCTGTAGAGTTGTAGAAGGAGATGTTATGTTTCAAGGAGACAAAATGCTTGTCATGCTATTAAATGTGCCTGGGCAAACTGCGCATCCTCTACCAGTGAAGAACAGACAGTATGTGTTAGTGTTCTTATGAAAACCAGCTTCACTCAGTGATGCATTGGACAGGTAACTACTACCCAGTTTCTGTTATCTAGGGGAATGCAGATGGTAGCTGGCAGACCACACAGCTTCCTAAGTTCAGACTTGAGACACCACTGATGCACTTGAGAGGGATGCAAAGGTGAGACTGTACTGGTGTAGAAAGGGAAATCTAGTTGCTCTTATTCTAGCCTTCACTTTCTGTAATTCAGTGAAGGGGAGGTGGCAAAAAACAGATGTGTGATCCTCTCTGTAAATCAGAGTACACTGTAGGGACTGTTTGTTTGACCACAGCTTGGCTTAGAAGGAAGCATGGTAGGCTGTGGCTGTGTGTGAACACTGCCTCCACGCTGTCTCCTCTTATGAGGACACAACTTCCTTTAGCTTTGAACATACATTGCCTCTTAGTTCTTTTTCCAGTCTCAGGCATTGTCTGCAGTGCTTTACCCCATCAATCACTTAGAGTTAGAAACTTGAGAACGCATGAGTTTTTGCTACCCCCCATTGCTCTTCTGGCAAGTGAAAGACTAAATGGATTTTTGTGGGCCGTTTAAATGCAATTTGCTACACGCAGTCTCAGCTGGAATATTGTTTAAAACTTGATTTAGAAGATCAGATTGAATGTTTTTGTATGGACGTGCCTTCATCAGAGAGCTCTCTTCTAACACTTACCTGCAAAGTGTGGAATGTTATGTCCAGGCTGGATGCTTCATATTAACTTGACTGCTTTTCAAATTAAAAAAATCAATACTATTTGCACTTCATGTAAATGGCTGTTAAGCAGTAATCCAGAGACAGCTTTAAATTGAAAGTTCGTGTATGAGCTCCATGTATGAGTTCTAATGTGTTTCTCAGTTTCTCTAAAATCAAATTGAAAGATTAGGCAAAGTGAAGCAAAACACTGTTTTAGCCGAGGGGTTCCATGCTGAAATACCTCTGAATATATCCTATTAAGTGTTTATATTTTGAATTTTGCAGAAATATAGTGAAGTCAGCTGCTGTATACTACAGGAGTTAAAATTGTATCTCCTTTTAGTGATGTTGACTTTTAAATACTTTCTGAAGGTCCTTAACTTGTTTTTCCCTGTGCTGTACTCTGAGAATTCTAGTCTGGCTTCCTCATATGATGTTCATGTACCTTAAATATACTTAAAAAAGACAGTGTTTGGAAAACAGACAAATTAACACAGCTTTTTACCTATTAGTGCTGCAATGTGTTTAGTGTGGAAATCAGATGCCTTCGTTTTGGCAGTACCTGTTTGTATGCATCTAAATAGAAGAGGTACTTCTTCTGAAGTTTAGGTGTATACTAGAAAAGTTCCCCATTCTCATACTTGTATTCTCCTTTCTGTTTGGGCTTTTTAGTGGTTTTGGTAGACTTGGTAGTATTTCGTTAATGGTTGAACTCAATGTATTTAAGGGTCTTTCCCAACCTATATGATTCTGTTTCTGGGAGATGCAGGCCCTGTAGGCTGGCTGGAATACTTATGTTCGTTAGAACCATTCCCTCAACTTTCAGTTTAGGATCCCTTACATTCAGTTAGGAACCATTAGGTC